ACAGCGGGATTCCGGCCCAGCTGGTTCACGCGCACAACAGCGCCTAGGCGCCCCCTATGCTTGCCCCATCAATACGTACAGTGCCTGGGCGCCCATTGGTGCACACCCCAGAGCTGCTCCACTCACCCGAAGGCTCCACACCCGCCTCAGACGAGAGCCTCGCCTTAGCTGCGTGCCTACCTGCGCTAATAGCATCCACGCGATAGCAGCACCTAGTGGCTCACCCTCCAAGAGCCCAACCTACTCGCTGACCATAGGTGTAGCTCATCCAACCATAATCGGGACAGCCTCGCCAACTGGGTCTGCTCGCCCCACATTTGGCGCATTGGGTAGCGCCTCTTTCCCTGCACAAATGGCATCCTGCCCCCTTATGCCAGCGCCTCCTTGCTTAACCGAACCAGACCCACCTCCTTGCTCGCCCAAGGTCTCATTCGCCTCACCTGCACGGGCAGTAAGTGCCAATGGTGCCTCCACTTGGACATCCAACAGCTCTCTCTCTTCTTCGAGAGCAACTTCAACACCTTTGAGATGCTCACCAAGATTTGAAGATCCCCAAACACCTCCACCAGTTGCCATTAAGCAAAGAACTCAAGCTCAAAAATCTCACCTATGTGTGCTTGGAGAATTTCAAGAAGAGTTCTTCCTTACTCAAGTTTCTCTGGAATGAGGGGAACTTGGGCTCCAAAGATTTCAAGAAGGGACACTCTTGAATGAGTTGGAGGAAATGGGTAGAATAAAGAAGAAGGTTATATTTATAGCCTAGGGTTTACAAAGAGGGAAAATCCCAAATTAAAAATCAAGGGGTCTCTTAAAAACCTAAGTAAAAATGAAAAAGACTTAAGGTGTTCAGCGAGGCGAAATACATGATTGACCAAGCCTAAGAGGCCCAAATCCATGTTGAAAACCCAGTCATGATCAAGGGCTCAAAATTATGAAGATCCAGTANAGTGCCTGGGCGCCCATTGGTGCACACCCCAGAGCTGCTCCACTCACCCGAAGGCTCCACACCCGCCTCAGACGAGAGCCTCGCCTTAGCTGCGTGCCTACCTGCGCTAATAGCATCCACGCGATAGCAGCACCTGGTGGCTCACCCTCCAAGAGCCCAACCTACTCGCTGACCATAGGTGTAGCTCATCCAACCCTAATCGGGACAGCCTCGCCAACTGGGTCTGCTCGCCCCACATTTGGCGCATTGGGTAGCGCCTCTTTCCCTGCACAAATGGCATCCTGCCCCCTTATGTCAGCGCCTCCTTGCTTAACCGAACCAGACCCACCTCCTTGCTCGCCCAATGCCTCATTCGCCTCACCTGCACGGGCAGTAAGTGCCAATGGTGCCTCCACTTGGACATCCGACAGCTCTCTCTCTTCTTCGAGAGCAACTTCAACACCTTTGAGATGCTCACGAAGATTTGAAGATCCCCAAACACCTCCACCAGTTGCCATTAAGCAAAGAACTCAAGCTCAAAAATCTCACCTATGTGTGCTTGGAGAATTTCAAGAAGAGTTCTTCCTTACTCAAGTTTCTCTGGAATGAGGGGAACTTGGGCTCCAAAGATTTCAAGAAGGGACACTCTTGAATGAGTTGGAGGAAATGGGTAGAATAAAGAAGAAGGTTATATTTATAGCCTAGGGTTTACAAAGAGGGAAAATCCCAAATTAAAAATCAAGGGGTCTCTTAAAAACCTAAGTAAAAATGAAAAAGACTTAAGGTGTTCAACGAGGCGAAATACATGATTGACCAAGCCTAAGAGGCCCAAATCCATGTTGAAAACCCAGTCATGATCAAGGGCTCAAAATTATGAAGATCCAGTAAGCCCAACAAGATCCAAGCCCAGTCAAACTCATCAGCTTGGCTACATCATCAAGAGAGCTCAAAAGCCTCACCTGCACTGCCTTGGAAATCGTCAAACCTTACCTCATCATTTGACCAAGTCTCATGGAAAGCGCCGCAACCACCTCGCATGTTAAGGAGAAGTTGTGAGCTCCACCAGAATAGTTATGTAATTGTTATTAAATCGCCCCAATCTATTAGAGAGCAACTATAAATTGTAAATCCCGTCAACACTTGGGGGGCATGATCATCATTAACACACTCTCACCTGAGCACAATTCTCCTCTCCCTCTCAAATCCTGTACTCTCTGCTCCCTACACCCTTGAGCTATTAAAGTTCCAGGCGATCAAGGTCATTCAAAAGTGGACATAGGTCACGTTTGCTGAATCACTATAAATCTTGTTTCCTCCAACTCTCTTTACTTTTAATTACTGCATTTATTTTCAATCACTCAACAGGTGGTGTGTAAATCCATTTTGTGCATCATCAGTTTCTAGAGTAAAAAATAAGCAATTCTATTTCTCAAGCTGGCAAACCGCTCGAGTAGTTAGAGAGCAGCCTAGAGAATCGTCTCCACTAGTTCTGTAGATTTGTCTCCTTAAATATTTAAAAACCGCTCTAGTCAAAGTTAAGTGACCAAAGAGTGGGCCTACTGGCTTTTAAGCTAAAAACCAAACAAAAACTTGACTTATTGAGTATTAAATGATTTTATTTCAATAGGGTCTGATAAATGACTCAAACTATCTTTTAAAAACACATTTAAGGTTTAGAAAAAGATTTTCAATAAAAAATCCTATGAGTCATTCTCGAACATTTCAAATTCTATTGTATTCACCTTAATCATCTTATGTCTAAAATTAAATCAAGGAATCTAAGTCTCTACAATCTTTACATTTATTATAAGCTTCAAGGTGCATCAGAGTGATNTTCTCGAACATTTCAAATTCTATTGTATTCACCTTAATCATCTTATGTCTAAAATTAAATCAAGGAATCTAAGTCTCTACAATCTTTACATTTATCATATGCTTCAAGGTGCATCAGAGTGGTCTTGTTGTAGTATTATAGCTTGATTTCCCTTCCTTACTTTATCGCTTACAAATCTTAATCTTTGAAACTTAATGACCATGAAATTTTGTCGAGATTTATATAAACTTAACAAAATTAATCAATTATAAAACATGATCTAACAATTCAATAATTCAATTGCTAAAAAAAGAAAAGAGGACACTATCCACGAGCAAAAAAGGGTAGAAAAGAGAATTGGGAGCAACCGATGCCTACCTCCAATCCCCCTCTGCTCTTTCTCCTCCATCTACATCCCCTTTTGCTACCATCGACTTCTCCCACCACCTAACCGGGCTTCCACCCTCATTCCATTTGGCTCCCTCATAAAAAATGCCCTAAAAAACTTTGAGAATGAAGTCATGTTGCTTTCTTTTTTTTTTCGCCAATTACGAAAATCAGAATGGAACCAAAATCAAAATTCCACACATTTAATGTCTTCCTTACCGTCAATTATATATATATATATAAATTCCACACGATTAATGACTTGCCATTATGGCAAATCATCTAATCAAACACATAGAGAATGTTCTGTTCCCTCGAACATGGTTTCTAATAATTGAACCCAATGACGGATGATCAAACATCCACAGAAATTAAGAAAAAGTGTAATGAGTGAAATCTAGATCAGAGTATGAAATATGGTGTCATATTTTGTTATTTTGCCAAAATGGCAACGAGGTCATGCCCCTCCTAACAGTTCTTGCTTAAAAATAGACCAAACCCAACATAATCAACCAATAGAGGATAACTAAATTACTAACCGACCTCGTGGCACTCTCAATCCACATATATTGAACAAATGGTCACTAAAACTTGAAAGCCGACAGGAAGCAACCTTGATAATTGTACATACAACAGGCTAAATAGATTCCAGAGCATAGTGTTTAACCGATCAAAACAACCAAATTTCCCCACTTTGTATACCATGGAGAATCAAACGAACAAACTGCACTAGAAAACAATTGTGACCACCAAAAACAATATACACATTACAGTCAAGTGCTTTTTTTGGAGCATTTAGTCAACGCAACTAAAAATGGAAAAATCAAGCCCGAGGGTGAACCAATAAAGAGACGATAAGAAGCAGCAGAGCGCCTTTTCTGTAATGCAGTACAAATTAGCAAATTGCACTATAGAACAACTGTGATCAGCAAAAGATATTATACACACTACACTCTGAGCATTTGGCCCATTCTAAGATGAAAAAGGAAGAATCCAGCCTGANATGAGTGAAATCTAGATCAGAGTATGAAATATGGTGTCATATTTTGTTATTTTGCCAAAATGGCAACGAGGTCATGCCCCTCCTAACAGTTCTTGCTTAAAAATAGACCAAACCCAACATAATCAACCAATAGAGGATAACTAAATTACTAACCGACCTCGTGGCACTCTCAATCCACATATATTGAACAAATGGTCACTAAAACTTGAAAGCCGACAGGAAGCAACCTTGATAATTGTACATACAACAGGCTAAATAGATTCCAGAGCATAGTGTTTAACCGATCAAAACAACCAAATTTCCCCACTTTGTATACCATGGAGAATCAAACGAACAAACTGCACTAGAAAACAATTGTGACCACCAAAAACAATATACACATTACAGCCAAGTGTTTTTTTTGGAGCATTTAGTCAACGCAACTAAAAATGGAAAAATCAAGCCCGAGGGTGAACCAATAAAGAGACGATAAGAAGCACCAGAGCGCCTTTTCTGTAATGCAGTACAAATTAGCAAATTGCACTATAGAACAACTGTGATCAGCAAAAGATATTATACACACTACACTCTGAGCATTTGGCCCATTCTAAGATGAAAAAGGAAGAATCCAGCCTGAAGATAGATCATCCGAGAGTTGATAAAAACAGCAGAACACCTTTCCTCTAAGTTATCTGTCCATGCTTTTCTCAGAAGAATAAAAGAAGAGATGATGTACAAACTGACGAGTATTGTGCAGCATCAGAGAACTGATTGCAGCGAGTGCATAAATGATTTGACAAACTTGATCCCGATGGCCATCTCATGCTCCTATACCATCTTCTCATTGGGATCACTCAATAAAGTATGCGCTGTTGAAAGATGGATATAAAAAATTGTACATTGTCTTCAAGTCAACTTGAAATACCCCACCAGCCAGCAGAGTTTATCCTTCTTGAAACAAAGGAAAAGGGGAACGAAGAAACTGAAAGCCAAGTCCCACTGCAGTGAGTTTAGCCAGGTAGACTTCAACAAGTAATGTCCGTCAATACAACAAATTCCTCACATTGATAAAAGAATAAGACACAAGCTGTTAGCACCAATAAGTCCCAAAAATATCTCTGAAGCCCATCGCACTATGAATGAACTGCTATTGCACCACAACGCAACTCATAGTCCTTTATATAACAGTTCACTGAGTGACTTCTCAAAGACTCATATAGTGGGTATCCATAATTGTATCCGACCTCACAATATTCCATTTAAAACCCTCTGGTAATAATCATATTGCCGTGTCCGCCATGCATCTAAGCTGCTGCTGATCAGAGAGAGCACCAAGGACACGCATTGCTGCCACAAAATAACATCCTATTTATAACCTCTACACGAAAAAATGCTGAACATTAATGCAACATAATATGAAAGAAATCATACCTCTTCAGTTAAACTTAGATGAAATCGTTTCCTCAAGTTCTGTATAGTCCTAGGTCCACCTTTAAAACATGGGAAACCAGAATCCTGATCAACACATCACAAAATGGTCACTTTCAGCCAACCAAGCACTGTAGTCAGTGGTGTGGTAACTATTTTTAATGTCAGCATATAATAAAGAAAAGCACATGATAGGATGCCATGAAGATGCCAACGGTCTGCAAATCTATCATTTTCTTCAAAAAAGAAAGAGAAGCCTTGAATTAATCCTCCATAAGGAACATCCCCATGAGATGCTCAGTACAAGAGCATTGGACCCTGGTTCTTATACTAATGGGTTGCAGTGTTCTATCAGCTGTGTGCCTGATGGCGTAGCCTTTGCATTTTTTCCCAAGATAAAAAACGATGATAGTATTAATCATAAAAATTCAAAGAATGTACAAAACTAGTGAAAGATAGACAAGTTGTCCAAACCAAGGACTCCTAAAAAAATAAAAAATAAAAATAAATAGAATTACAACTTAGAGAAAACCAAGAACTACATTTCGCATGTAGCTGTCCAGCTTGAGATAACGACCAGATTTGGAAGCTAGGGTAGAAGACCGGAAATTTTTTTTCCAAAAGAAAGTGCACATGGTAGATTTATTATGATTTGTCTTTTTGATATCTATTATTTATAGAAATTTTTGTTAGATAGTAATTACTAGATTGAGATTGTTTGGGATGAGTTAATAGAGTTTTAGTAGGAGAATAGTTATCTTGATAGGAGACTTGGTTTATAAGTAAGGATGTATCCCTATTATTCTGATTAGAGTATGATCTGAAATTGATTATTCTCAGTGGAGAAATATGTTTCTTGATCTAATCTTTAAGAGGATTTGCTAATCCCTTTCTCTTCTTTCTTTCCTTCCCTCCTTGCATCAGTGGCCCTGCCTCTGAGTCATTTAAAATTCTGGCATGTATCAATTTTATTAGACGTGTTACTCCTAACTTCTTCCACATGAAACCATCCAAGAGGCAAGAGACCACTCTTCTCTTAATAGAATCCAATATATAAAATACAAAGAGAAGTTGTCTTCCTACTTTTGGGGGGCAGTTATTAGACCAAGTTATTACATGTTTTTTGCTATATCTCTTATTTGCAATCAAAAGAAATAAAAGAAAAAGAAGAGGAACAGTATTTTTTTACTAATTTAGCTACATGCTATTTTATTTTACTCTAGATACCTGCAAATTCAGTAGACAATTTTCCCACTTCCTCCCAATCTCTTCTTTCCTCTAATGTTTCACTCTCTTCTCTCTCTACACAATAGGGTAAATTGAATGCACATGCATTGAACATGCGCCACCTTTAGTATCATGAGTATGAAGGAATTGATAGGTGCAATTTCATTTCTTATTTTGTTCTGATTACAGACGGTGATCCATGATATATGTTAAGTGTGGAGAATTAACACAATATTAGAGAGAACAGAGAGAGGTTAAAACTTAACCTAACTCTCATTCATCACTTATATTTATAGTTAACCTACAATAATAAGAATTATATATACATCCTCTTACTATTAACAATTTACACATACTACCTTACTATTTTTAACACTCCCCCTCAAGCTGGACTATATATATCATATAATCCAAGCTTAAAACAAATAGCTGTAAGACGCGTACGACTCAATACTTTGATAGATATATCTACAAGCTGATCTTCAGATTTTACAAATGGAGTTATAATCTCCCCAATTACTATCTTATCCCGAATAAAGTGACAATCAATCTCAATATACTTGGTTCTCTCGTGAAACACAGGATTGACAGCGATATGGATAGCTGTCTGATTGTCACAGAACAACTGTAAAGGAAGTTGAACTGGAAACCCAATTTCCTGGAGGAAGTGTAGTAGTCAAGTCAACTCACTCGTCGTATGCACCATTACCCTATACTCAGCCTCAACACTGGATCTTGCTACCACGGATTGTTTCTTGCTTTTCCATGAGACAACGTTACCTCCTAAGAAAGTACAATAACTAGTAGTTGATCTCCGATCAAAAGGAGAGTCAGCCCAATCAGCATCTAAAAAACCTTCCACTCTAAGATGTCCATTAGCTCGATATAATAGTCCAAGTCCAGGAGCACGTTTGAGATATCGCAGAATACGAGTAACTGCATCCCAATGTGGTACTCTAGGACACCCCATGAACTAACTTACTATACTGACTGCATAGAAAATATCCGGTCGGATAATAGTGCAATAATTGAGCTTCCCAACCAATCTGTGATTCCGACCTGGATTCTCAAATAGTGCACCATCATCCATCAAAATTTTCTGATTCAGATTCATAGGAACATCAATAGGTCTGTCACCGAACAAACCTGATTCCTCAAGCATGTCAAGTACATATTTCCTCTAGGATAAACAAATACCCTGTTTAGATCGAGTCACCTCAATACCCAAAAAATACCTAAGTTTTTTCAAATCCTTAGTATGAAATCAATCCTGTAAGAATATTTTTAACTTGGCAATCCCTTCAGAATCATTTTCAATAATCAAAATATTATCTACATAGACCACCAATAGGACATATCCAACATCTGTCTGTCTATGAAACACAGAATGGTCTGTCTGACATCGAAGAAGACCAAACTCTAAAACTGCATCTGAAAACTTACCAAACCATACCCTCGGTGACTGTTTCAAACCATACAAAGATTTCTTTAACCGACATACACTCTTATCATACTCCCCCTGAGCAGTAAACCCAGGTGACTGCTCCATATATACCTCTTCAACTAAGTCATCATGTAAGAAGGCATTTTTGACGTCTAACTAAAACAAGTGTCAATCAAGATTAGCAGTCAAAGAAATCAATATACGAACAGAGAAAATTTTGGCAATAGGAGAAAAAATTTTCTCATAATCAACACCATAAGTCTGAGTAAAGCCCTTTGCAACAAGTCGGGCTTTGAGATGCTCTACAGAACCATCTGGATGAAATTTAACAGTATACACCCAACGACAGCCAACAGTTCGTTTACTAGGAGGTAAAGGAACGAGATCCCAAGTCCCATTATGATGTAAGGCATCCATCTCCTCCTCCATAGCTTTCCTCCAACCCGGATCAGATAATACATCCTGTACATGCTTAGGAATAGATATAACAGATAATTGGGAAGTAAAACAAGAGAAGACAGGAGACAAAGCATCATATAAAACAAAATGAGAAATGGGATGATTAGTAACACACGAACGAGTACTTTTGCGAAGAGCAATAGGTAAAGAGTCTAAATTACCTGATGTACCAGGATCAGAAGGCAGCAAGAAAAACAGTACAGACACCTCAGTCGATGGGCGAGGACGGCGAGAGTAGACACGGAGAGGTAAAATAGATGGTAACACAGTGGACAACGGGATATCTGAAGATGAGAAAAGAGATGGTGGTATAAGAGATGACCCAAAGTCCAGATCCAAAGGCTGAGAAGGTGCTGAAAAATATGGACTAGATTCTTCAAACATGACATCGACACTAGTAAAGTATCGGTACAGAGAAGGACTGTAGCAACGATACCCCTTCTACGTGCGAGAGAAACCAAGAAATATACATTTGGTAGCTCGAGGGTCAAGTTTGTCAAATCCAGGATCCAACTTATGAACATAACAAACACATCCAAAAACCTTAGGAGTTAGGAAAAATAAAGACTTACCAGGAAAAAGGACAGAATATGGACTTTACCCATTTAACACAGAGGATGACATACGATTAATAAGGTGACAAGCAGTAAGAATAGCATCACTCCAAAAATATCGAGAAATATTCATCTGAAATAATAGGGCACCGGTGATTTCCAACAAATGACGGTTCTTGCGTTCAGCAACACCGTTCTGTAGAGATGTGTAAGCACAGGAAGTTTGATGAATAATGTCAGCTTTATTAAGATAAGCTGAAAAAGGATCGGATTCATATTCTCGAGCATTATCAGAACGTAAAATACAGATACGACAACCATACTGAGTTTTTATTTTCTTACGAAAGGTCTCAAATATAGAGAATAATTCAGACTGAGCTTTCATCAGAAACAACTAAGTCACACGAGAATAGTCATCCACAAATGACACAAAATAAAGATATTTATTAGATGAAATATTCTTTGTTGGACCCCATACATCAGAATGTACCAACTCAAATGGACTAGACACACGATTATTGACTCGAGACTGAAATGACACACGGTGATGCTTACTAAGTTGACACGTTTCACAAGACAAAGACGGCACAAAACTAAGACTGAAAACTTGACGTTTCAGATTCTGGAGAGAGGGATGTCCAAGACAATAATGCCACTGAAAAGGAAACAACGAGGTCTGTAGAGCCCGAGTAGGTGAATCAAAATCAAAGTAATATAGGCCACCAGATTCATGCCCCGTACCAATCTTCCTCTTTGTCTTAAGATCCTGAAAGACACAATAAGAAGGATAAAAAATTACATANCAGATTCTGGAGAGAGGGATGTCCAAGACAATAATGCCACTGAAAAGGAAACAACGAGGTCTGTAGAGCCCGAGTAGGTGAATCAAAATCAAAGTAATATAGGCCACCAGATTCATGCCCCGTACCAATCTTCCTCTTTGTTTTAAGATCCTGAAAGACACAATAAGAAGGATAAAAAATTACATAACAATTGAGAGAACGGGTAATCTTGCTAATGAAAAGTAAACTAAAAGAAAACTGAGAACAAATAATACAGAAGATAGGGATATATCAGGACTCAAGTTAGTACTCCCCAAACCTGAAACTTTAGAACAAGTGTCATTAGCAAGAGTAGCACTATGTGTGAAATGAGCAAACTGATAAGTAGAAAAAATATCGGACGCACCAGTCATGTGATCAGAAGCGCCAGAGTCTATGATCCAGGGATTGCGATTGGAGGACAATAAACAAGTGAAAGCAATACCTGACTGAGCAAAAGTAGCAGTGGAGGAAGATGGAACAGCCTGTTGCTGAGATAGAAATTGAGCATACTCCTCTTGAGTAATAGTAACCAATCCAGTGTCTTGCTTGAGTTCCATAACAGTGCAGCAAATAAAAAACAATAAGTGTTACAATACTGAACCAGAAGAAAAAAAGGATGCTAGACCGCTGAACTAGGCCTGTTAAGGCTGGTGGAATACTGAACCAGTTTGAAAAACTGGCCTGAACCACTGAACTGGGCTTGTTAAGGCTACAGGAGCCCTGAACCGGACTGAAAAACCAGCTTGGACCACTGAACCGGGCCTGTTAAGGCTGCTAGAATACTGAACCAGTCTGAAAAACCGGCCTGAACCACTAAATCGGGCCTGTTAAGGCTGCAGGAGCCCTAAACCGGACTAGAAAACCGGCTTGGACCACTGAACCGGCCTTGCTTAGGTCACTGGAAGCCTAAACCGGACTAGTTTAGTCCTCTGGATCACTGAACCGGCCTTGCTTATGCTACTAGAAGCCTGAACCGAACTGGTTCAGCCCTCTGGACCGCTGAACTGGAGTAAAACTGGTCTGAACCAGACTGGTTGGAGTTAAACCGGACTGGTTGGGACTAAACCGGGTTGGACCGAAGTGGGCTGGACCCAATCGAATTGGGCTGGGCTTAAACCAATTTGTTGGAGCTAAACCGGGTCTAGACCTTTTTCTGGGTCTGGACCCTTTCTTCTTCGTCGAATAGGATTACTGTAACCCTAGTCTTCGACTGTGCCACCACGATCGCTACACGAACCACCACAACAACCACCACAGACCACGCCTCCAACAACGATGAACTACCATAGCCGCAAGACAACAACCACCACAGACCACGCCGACGATGAACCACCACACAGCCACCACAGACCACGCGATCACAACAACCACCACAGACCACGCCTCACCACCAACGATGAACCACCACAACAGCCACACCACCACGATGAACAGTACAACACCACCACAACAGTAGCACAAACAGAGCACCACCACCACGCTTCAACAAACACAAGCACCACCACAGTACCACAAACAAATTAATTTATTCAGAATATATTTATGATCGTAATTGCTTTGATACCATGTTAAGTGTGGAGAATTAACACAATATTAGAGAGAGCAGAGAGAGCAGAGAGAGGTTAAAACTTAACTTAACTCTCATACATCACTTATATTTATAGTTAACCTACAATAATAAGAATTACATATACCTCCTCTTACTATTAACAATTTACACATACTACCCTACTATTCTTAACAATATACAATTGAATGTTCAGAGGAAAAAACAAGTGCATTTGCCTTAATAAGTTGTTATTTCCAAGAAAACAAAAATATTAATGCATTTGAGTCACCTAAGCCTTGGATAGGAGCTGTTATATGGGCGCAACAAGGGAAAAAATTCAAGTATATTGCAACTACATTCATAATTAGTACTAATTGTGACAATTACTTCAGTGGTCCAAAATGCCAGGACTGTTTGGTAACTTCCGTGTGGTTTATGGGTTTGGTGATAAAGCTTGTCATTTCATAGACATATATTTGACTACAGTTAAATGTTGGGAAAGTGTATTCCTAAATTTATTTTAAAATTTTCTTATCAATTCCAAGTTTGTATAAACTCTATTCTTCTACTCTTGGGATTTTTCTACTAAGATGTATGGTGTACCCGATCACTGCCTAAAAAATTCTTGTTCCGGTAGATTATGAGTCCTGTTGGGTTACAATATTTGATGGATGCCCTGAGGCATTCAATCTTCTACCAACAAGCTCCATCAATCAGGGAAATAGTTCTTTAGACTTTGAATGAATGTCACACTCTTCCAACCATCTTGGAATTAGAGGCTGCTAATTCTTCCACAAGAAGAAGCCCAAAGTTTCCCAGATTTGGAAGTCACCAGTGTTGCTACCATGAACAAGGTTCTTACCAGTAGGCTTAATATCTGGCTGATATTGTGTGTTTTTCTGCTGATGGGTGTGAATCAGCTACAACTAATCTGAACCAACTTCCCAGTGCTGGTATCTAGAGTAAATGCTTCCAGGCACAGACAGAATTCTGTGAAATAAAAGTTGAAGGGTTGGAATATTTACTAGAAATGATTAACTTAATAAGAAGAAGATGGAATCACAAGGAATGCGTTGATGAGAAAGTGCTTGTGGGAAAAGCTGCAAAAATGATTCTGTAGGTGAAACAAAGAGGACTGAAGCACAGACGAATGAAAGAAAATATGTGTCAAGGCCATGAGGAAATAAAGGATCACCAGAAACTTGACAGTCATAGCTCATAGCTCTAGATAGGAAAAGAATGGCTTAGAAATACACACATGGGTTAGGAATAGGATTATAAACTTTTGTGAATGGTTATGGTTCCTACTACTGGTCGGGTGCTCTCACGGTAAAGGATTCAAGAAGAAATCATCAGAGGCTTTATTATTGCATAGGAGGCAACAATATCACAGCAGATGTCAGCACATGACAATACACAGTCAACTGCGGCATGAAGTATTATGAAAATATTGTAAACAGCCGTAACAGGTGATTTCAAAAATAGAGCATTTGAATTCCAAAGAAGATATTTTGAACAGAATCCAGGGCACAAATTTTTTTGTAGAGATGTCAATTCCCTGTTGCACAAGAACTTGAGTTCTCAGAATTCAAACTTCCAGAAGTAAATTTTTCAGTTGAAAATTTTCATGCCATTTGAAGGAAGTATATAGGCAACTCGTTTGACATGCTGCCTATAAGCAAACCCCCACTCTCCGTCCAATATACACCCAATAAAAAGAAAAAAGAAAAAGAAAAAAAAACAGTAAAGCACATACAGGCACATACCCACAAGGTAAACTAATTAAGAAGAAGTCAGTAGATTCCAATGGCTCCTCATGATGGAGGTTGGTTGCACGTTAACAGCATTCTATGCACTAAACACAACTTGTTCACAATTGCCATCTCAAAAAGGTCCATATTTTTTACCGCATCCCAATGACAGAATCAAGTTAAAGGCAGCTTTCCATAAAAGAATTACTGCACACACAGTTAACTTCATAGAATATGTACAATGCGTTCATATCTCTGTGAACTAGAACTGAACTTTCACTACATTGTTCCAGGGGCTAGCCCACAAAGAGCTCTAGCTGGTCATCCCCCATTTACCACCAGACCTTATGGGTGAAAGCCCTCGTCAGGATGTTGCAACAAAATGAACAACTATTTCTGAGGGAGGAATTGGGAGGACGGAGGGGGAAAGGGAGAAGGGTGGGCCAGTGGAATCTTACCTGCAACATCTCGACAAGAAGAATTATGCGTTCCGCGTGTTTACGACATGTTAGGAAACCTTGAATGCATAAAACCTAAATAAATAGTAGAAAAAACAACTAATAAGGACCATCAAGAAGACGGGGGCTGCTTGAACTCTTAATATTAGAAAACGTAAAACAGCAAGAAACAGACATATTTACTTTAAAATAGTCAAAGAACTCGCTTGGACCTCCCTCAGCATCAGAATCCATAACCTGGCACAAACCCAGCGTCTAAATCAGTTTTGGTTCTGATACCAAAAATAATAATAAATTAAATAGTTCAACAAAATTGCACTCTTCCATATGATAAAGCATTTTTAAGGAAAGGAATGGCAGGGTTTATAAGAACCAGTTCAAGGATTGTAGTTCTCTCATCAAGACAATCAAGCAGATCATAATTGATAGGATTGTTGCTCTGAAGTTCAAAAATAAAAGGCAGAACCTGCTACTGCTGCAGATGTGATAGATCTCAGCAGCTTGCCTAGTTTGAGTAAAGGCCAGTAGATGGAGTCCAGCAATTCAATGTAAGTACTTGATATGTAATAGTCGATATGATGGAATGCTATATGATAACATGATGTTTTTTGTTACACAAATCTGCATTGGGTAGCCAAAACAGGCTGCCACTTCCAGATTCATTACACAGACTGTTTAGGTGTTCCTCATTTGCATGTTTTTTTTTTTCTTTTGTGAACTCTCAATAGAGTATTCCACTTGTGGTTGTACATGAAAGATTTTACATATGAAATTTATTTACCTTTCAGGGACAGAAAAAAATCAAAGCTGATACCAATTTAAGAATCAAATATAAAGCAACAACTTATGATTATAAAGGAAATGAAATGACTGCAAGCCTTATTATATAGTTTTATTTTACCTCAAGAAGTTCACGTGTTAATTTAAATGGTGCACTCTCAAAATTTACACCTCCAGGTGAATTGGATAGCATAAAGCCAAAGTCAATGTGTATGATATGGCCATCTTCATCCAACAAGAGATTCCCATTGTGCCTATCCTTCACCTAGACAACAAGAAAAAAGTTATAAAATGGGAGGCATGTAAAAATATAGCTTCTAAATAGGGCTAATTTTTTTTTAAAATAACAGTTGTTCAGCAAGCATGCTGGCATTAAAATGCAGGAAACTTTAAGATTTGACTAACTAGAAAGGTCAGATATATACAGAAAAGCAAAGTTCAGTTAAGAACACGTCACTTTCAAAGAAGTAAGGTGATTCTTCACACATGTTGTTTTGAGAGCAAATTAAGAAGTACTACGAGAATAAATCATAGTATCAAGTTCTTATCTAGGTAACTGGATAAGTCCATATTATGAGCATTATTGCCGTAAATGTGTATTTATGTCATATAAAGCAAATATCTAGGTTATCGTCAGATAATACCAGCATACCACAAAATTTTGAAGGAAGGATAATTTTGTAATGGGGAGAGACTGTTCAAACTACCCTTCGCGTTTTTCAAAACCTACCACCGAATTGCATGCTACTCTCATTTTCATCATGCCCCAGATTTCAGGTCAATCCGTGATCAATAGACGTCCAATCAAATAATAAAATACATTTACAATTTGGAGCACTATAATGTAGTCCATAACTTCATCTCCGATCAACTTGAAGTTTGACAAGAATGATCAGCATGATGAACAAGCAATTCAATGGAGGATATATTGGAAAATTTTCATTTAAAAGTCAAGTCATTGGAAGACGGATCACACCAAACTCTACAGATCCCTCCCCTTTTTTAACATATAAGCTTTAGATGTGTATGTCTGGTCTATATGTGCATGTTTTGTGCATTTGCATGAGTGTGCGAATGTGTGTATATTGCGTGAGAGAGAATTAAAGTACCAATAATGAACAATGATACAACCAAACACAAACAAAAAAGTACAACAAAAAATCGGACTAATGATTTAGTGGTGGAAATTATTCAAGAATGTCAACCTTTATTAAGGAGTTTAGGACGACCGCGATGGCACAAAAGTTGGCAATCCCTTCATTAGTCATAAGTAGGAAGAGAAGCCACTTAAACATGCCTTGCATGAATCCAGATTCATTGCACCAAGGCCATAAGTAACATCAAGGCCCAAATTTCAAACTCAAATTGAAGCCGAAGGTGTTGATTGATAACGAGAACCCTTGTTAATCTGGGTTCCCTCATCTCCTGTTTGAGGAAAGCAACATCTAAAAACAGGGCTTTACAAGCAGGGTTTTACAAGCAGACAAAGGTTGCATTTAACTTTACAAGGGTCATGGAGAAAAAAAAGAACCAGAAATGGAAAAAAAGATGCATAAGCACAAAAGGAAATTCAACACGTGATTCTGGTTTTCCATCTTCATACCCATCCGTGCAAAAATAGATAAATAAAAGAAGCAAAAAGCATCTAACGTGGAGTATAAAAGAGTAAACATTACACCTTATCACAACCTTAGACCATTTAAAAAGATCAGAGACATGGCTTCATTAAATCTGCTTACTGGCTATAATCCCCACTTTGAAGAGGAACTTCTAAACTATTGAGGAAATACCCAATAAACCCCAAAACACGAGAAAATAAGAAGCCCAAAATTCTATGCCAACAGAGTGAAAGGATAAAATGGATGGATTATTTAACATTTCCCCAAGAAGTCTAAAATGAAAGAAATAGAAATAACCTTCCAAAAAAAAAAACAAACAAACAAAAATGCAGGGTCAAAGATAAAAGTCCTGATATGGGGAATAAAATTCAATCTGGAAGACATGTGTCCTTGTGAATTTAACATCTAAAAGTACCCCAAATTGTTTTAAATAACCTGAGCTAAGATTTTGTACTTGGACCAACACAAAAATTGCCTTTTTGAGTCGTAAGTCCAGATTTTTTTTTTTTGGTCAGAGTCGTAAGTCTAGATGGGGGCTCAATTGTCAGGAGTGCATTGAGTGTGAGCATCANAAATAACCTGAGCTAAGATTTTGTACTTGGACCAACAGAAAAATTGCCTTTTTGAGTCGTAAGTCCAGATTTTTTTTTTTTGGTCAGAGTCGTAAGGCAGCAATCTTTGTAAACCTCAATTGCTTTTGCCCACATAAGGAAGCTTTTACACAAACAATGGAAATTTAGGTGTGGGCTTTGTGGTTTTACACGGGAATAGTTTTATTTCATCAATTCCTCCATCAAAAGAAAAAGAGACACCAGCAAGCAATGAACCACATCATTGTAGATGCTAATGGATTTTCAGAGTCACATCTTTCTTGGTGGCAATGTAGTGAAAGAACATGTTCCAAAAAAAAATGTAGTGAAAGAGCATCTCCCTCTAAAATGTTATGGAAAAGATAATTTTACTAAATCCAAAGAGTAACAGAAGAAAACAACAGTCAACCATATTTTTAAGGTAGCAAGAGCAACATGTTAAAAAATCAATAAGATTTACTCCCTCCCGCTGGAAAAAAAAATATCACAAAGCCCAGAACACATTTATAGGAAGGTAAATAATTTAGAAATGCCTACATATGTTACATGTCATTTTCTCTGTTATACAGCCCACAGAAATTGACATTTCCATCATAGTTAACTTTGTTTCATGCCTACTCAAGCACCAAAAACAGACCATACCCAAGTCAGAGTACTCACTTTGAGTGTATGTACATGTGTATTTTATATATGAGAGAGGGAGGGAGAGAGAGAGAGCAGGAGGAGTACCTGTAAAAGGTAGCACACTAGGGAGTATCCAGCCATACTTTCAACAAAATTTCTCTGCAATGACGATTTGCCACTCAAACCCAGAAAGATAAATTCAATATGCACAATACAATCTCCCTTATTCACTCTCAAAAGAATAAAACATATTATGAATGGACTACACAATATAATTACGAGAATAAAAATATTGACTCCAGCCAATTTTTTGACAGTAAGAATCGACTCAACAAAAGGAATATGAAACATTATGATATTGCCTCCAGAAAAGACAATAGCAGACAAATTCTCTAACAAAGAACCTGATAGCATGGCAAATTTAATCAACTTCTCTAGAAACATACAGGATTTTAACTGCAAAAGACTAACTAAACCTTTAAGAGGTCTTACTGCAAAGGGATTTCAAAATTGTTAAAAGTCATTCATCAAACAAGCTAGAATTATTTCCCGAAGAAGTACTTGTCTATTGGGGTGCATACAAAACACTTACTTGAAATGAAAACCTAGCCAATTATTTATAAACACTAGACCTACCTTACGCACTTCTTTGGAGAACTTCCACCACTAAAGGAAAGAATGAAGTACTTGATCACAAGATCTGTCCGTAAAAAAAACATTTAATCTCTTCAAGTTTTAGTACCAAGTTAATTTCTTTACTTAGCAAGAATACTCTTAAGAAGAAATAAAGAGGGTCCAACACCACTAAAGAAAGAGCCGTGGTAGCTAATTGGGCGACAACTCTGCCTGGTACCCACGTTAGTGAAACCAATAATGGGTAAGGACGTTTTAAAACACATTGGATACAACATGAGCTACTTCTTCCCAAGGAGCCCAACCCCTGGCCCCAAGGATCACCCCACTTCTTCAAGGTCATACGTGACATAAAACCCAGATTACACATGAAAAACACAAGTTGCACACAAAAAAATCCCCAAACCACCCAATTTCTTTCACCTCTTACAAGGAAAGAGAAAAACAGAAAATAGGGCTACTAAAGTGGGACAATTCAATAGAATTGTATTTGAGAACCATTGATTAAGTTTGATGTGTTCCTACCACAGTTGTCAAAATTGTAACATTCACAATTCATGTAGAGATCAATGCGTATCTTTGTGGCTATCGATTTTGGGATAAACTCAATAGTGGGGTTCTAGACGTGTTCTGTTGTTTTGGGAAAAAATGACAGAATACAACTTCCGTGAGATTTTGAGGTGAATATAAGAAACACCTTTGCATGATTTGTTGTCCTTTAGCTTATTAGAATCGTGTTTAGTAGGATCCAGCTGACCTGACAGGCTCTTGAACCATTTTATCCGTTTTTAAATTTTTTTCGAGAAAAATGCAAAAATAAAACATCTTGTAAGGATGTTTAAGTTTAAAACACAAAAGACACTTTTTAAAGTATTTTGAAGTCTAAAGCAAAGGGTAAAAACTCACTCTTTCCCTCTTCCTATTCTATTGTTTTTAAGGTTTAGTAGGTCCCCTTTTTGAATCTCAATTTCTCTTATTCTATTCTAGGTTTTTATGTCCCTTTTTGTATCTCAAGAGAGAAAAGAAAGAAACCCTTGTTTTCTCTTAATCAAATCATATTTTGCAAATGATTGAATTAAAAAAACAACTTTAAAGCTTTATACTGAATCTTATGGATAGTGAAGGCCACTAAAGGTGAGTATTTATATGGGAATTATTCTCTAACATAGCATGCCACCGATTCACTATTCAAAAAATTGGGATTTCAATTCACAATACGAATCTCGATTTGGCAACTTTAGTTACTACCATTTTTTGGGTCCATGTTCATAAACTTTCCCCTTCAAAATGAGCCGATAAATGACACATAAAAAGAGAATCCATAAACAATTCAAACACACAAACCCAATGTATTATCACTGAAGCATTACCAATCGGAAGTGTATGAACAAAGTGGCAGAGCAACAACAATTTCATCAAAAATACCACACATCTCCAAAATCTTTTCCTAGGTTGAACTAATATTTCAAAACTGAATGTAAGTACACATCTGACAAACATTTTCACATAAAATTCTAATTGCCATACAAGGGGAAAGGAACATAAACAACAAGAAGAAATATCACTGGCACTTTTTTCGGTCCATTTAACTTGAAATTAGCCAGGCACTCAATCTATTTTCCCTATAATGACAAAATTTCATACCCCCATATCTTTTGATGAAAATAAATAATATATCTGCTATATACAAATTATTTTTAAAAAAAATCTCATCAAAAACAATTTAATAACGGAAGAATAATAAAAAAAAAATTTGAGAATGCAAAACAGGAGTGAATCTGAAAGGGCCAGCGAGCAAGTCCCCAAGTGAAACATCCACACCCCGTAGACATGTATCTTCTCATATTACCTCACAATTGAGGCCCCAATACTACACCACCCTTCACCCCCACCCCCACAAAAAAACAATCCCAAAAAAAACAGAAATAGTAGTTATAAAAAGAAGATATTAACAAAAAGGTGCAAGTGATAAGATATTTTAACAGGAAAAAATGTGATAGATGGAGAAGAACAAATATCAACAAAAATATAATAACCACTGCAAAAGCCAATGACATATGCTTCTTTTTAGGCATCATTTACCTGCGCAAGCTTAAAACTTGGAGAATTTTCTTGGTACTTGGCAACAAAAAAGTCTCGTAAACTTGAGATACCCGGAAATCTACTTTTGATGGAATGAAGTGAGGCCTACATACAAACACACGAACATTACCACAAAACCAAAACATAGACATATTCCAAGTTCACCTAGAAAATGAACATTTAGAGTTACCGTATCTGTAATTGGTTCAATGAGTGCAGTGTAAGAAGAAGTAACTAGGATTTCATAAGGGCGCAACCAGAGAGGGAGACCCGCCTCATGGAATATATCTGGCATCAATAAAATGATCATTAACATTTCTCAACATTACTAGAAAAACAAGAAAAGACAAAATGAAGACAAAATCATTATCCAGCCCAGGACCACCCTCATCAACTCAGATCAAGGTTCAAGACTTAGTAATGAAACAAAGAAAGACCAAAAGGATTAAAAGATCTTAGAGATAAGTCAGAATGTTAGATACAAAACCATTTTGGAGGCGGAAAGGAGCATTGAGTAAGAGATATAAAACCATTTTAAGTGCCTTTATACTAAGTGGATTTGAGGGCGCCATTAATAGGATTGGAGTGGATTCCCATTTATAAACCAAAAGCTAGATGGTAGGAAATAGAAATATATTTTGATGAGGAGGTGAGAGAAGCATTTTTTAGTGTAATAGAGAAGTTCCCTCCCAAGAGGTCTTTCGATTACTTTGTTTCAAGATTTTTGGGAGGCGTAAAAGAAGATTTAATAAAGATTCTTAGCAAGTTTTTTAAGAATAGATCGGTGAAATTTGAATAGTAGTGCGACCTTTATGTTTCTCAATTCAACAAAGTCTTGTACCAACGTTTTTGGAGTCGGCAACCTTTATTTTTTGATTTCCAAAAACCAAACTTCTTTGCAAAGCGGTGATTTTAGGCCAATAAGTTTATTTACTAGCCTAGCCAAGACAAGATTTAGCCAACTCTATGTCCATAAGGTTGAGGGAGGTGTTAGGGGATACAATTTTAGGAAATAGTAGTTTGTGAAGGAAAGACAAACTTTGGATGTTATTGTGTTAGAAAATGAAGTGGTCAATAAATATATAATAAAGGGCAAGGAGGGAATTGTTTTAAATTTGATTTCGAAAAAGTGAATGACTATAGGGATTGGGTTTCCTGGGTTTTATTTTTAAATTAAAAGGTTTTGAAAATAAATGGAGGAGATGGATTATGGAATGTTTAACCTCTATGATTGTTTCACTATAAATGGTACACTGCTTGGGAGATGTAAAACTATCCACTGAGGAGTCACGAACAGGAACAAGGAAAAGTGAAAACGGCTTAAATGGAGGAATTGATTGTGTTTCATTACTTGTTTTTCATAGCTGGAGATGAAAAAGGATCAAATTTGATTAACTACTAAGGGAAAGAAGAGTGTGCTACTGGGGCGTTTGAACGTTCTATGGTGAGTTATCCGTTCATTGTGTACGAAAAAAATCCGAGTTCAAAGGCACCACGTCTTGGTGTTTGAAGCATGGAAATCCGTTATCGCCTTTCCTTTTTAATTAAGTGTTTGATGGATTAAGTAGATTGGGAAATAGGGGAAAGAGTATGGTTTAGTTGAAGGATTCTCATGTTCACAAATTGGTGGTTGTTGTGAAGACATCTAGTTTGAATATGCCTAAGAGTTTAGTAACAAAAATAAATTCCTCTAGGACCAAGTCATAGGACTTTACTGGTGGGATAGGATGTGTGGCGAGTTATTGGCCACTAAAATACTTAGGCTTTCCTTTTGGGGGAAATCCTTTAGTCATGAATTTTTGGAATCCAACCATATGGGGAGAGATTGGAAAGGTGGAAAAAGGGTTCTTCATCCAAGGGAGGGAGGTTTAATTTACCTAGAGGGAGGAGGGCTTTCTAACTAAGAAGGACTTGGCAATTGGTTTTGGGTAGCATTCCCATTATTTTTCATCCCTTTTCAAGATCTCCAAAAAGGTTGCAAATATGGTGGAGAATACAATGAAAAAAACCTTTTTTTATAGGAAAGGGGTGGTAAAGCGACCACCTTGTTGGGTGGGAGATTGTAATTGAGATCTACATGAAAGGGTTTGGGAGTGGATAATTTGGTGAAGAGAAATGTGGCCTTGTTGACTAAGTGGTTGTGGAGATCTCCCTTGGAGCTTAACTCTCTGTGACAATTTGTTATCAAGAGTTGGGAGAAAATCCAGCTCCTTCGATGGGACACCAATGTGGTGGGTAGAGGCTCCTTTTGAAATCCTTAAAAATTTAAATCTCAAAGCTTGGAGTGTTTTACCAAACATGTAAGGTTTTGTGCAAAAAATGAGGAGAGTTCATTCCTAGAAAGGTATTGGCAGAAAGGAATCTTCCTAAACTCTCTTGTGTCCCTTTCTATTTAGATTTTTCGGTTCCCATAATGTTCATGCAGCTAGTATAGTTCATCCTTCAACTTGTCAACGGGAAAGGAACTTCAATTTTTATAGATTTATAAGTGATTGGGAAATTTGGGAGTATTCATCCATTTTATCGTTGATCGAGTCAGTGTTTTTGGCACTGTTGGTTCCAGATAAAAGATTGTGGACATTTGATTCTAATTATCCATATGAATTCTTTTCTTGTAGTTCATTCTTCATTGGCTAATTGATGATCCCAATTATCCTGGTTTTAAACCTCATTTGATGATTTGGAGCTAGAGCTTCTGTTAAGATGCTGGTGCTCGTGTAGAGAGTGGCTTATGGTAAGACTAATACCTTAGACTTGTTGCAAAGGATGAGGCCTCATGCTTGTCTTTCTCCTCAACAATATGTGATGTGGAGAGTAGGTTGTGAATGTATCAACTAATTCTTTCTACAATGTGCAACTATGAAGGATGGGCACTCAATTTTGACTCACATATTCGTGTCTAACAAATCTAGGACACTGACATAGTCGGACACGCCATTTAGAGTGTCAGATTTTTTATTTTTTGAATTTCAGACACGCAACAGGCATGTGAGGGAGACGTTTAAGGGTTAAAACACGGGGTCTTTTTTGTAGTTGTTTAAGAGTAAAAAGGCCAAAAAATAAAAAGCCCAACATTTAAGATTTTAAAAAAAAATTAATGCCATAAATATATACATCATCTGACGAAAGAATTTCTCTCATCAAATCATTGATGCAACGCAATAGGGTTTCTCAGTCAAACCAAGAGTGGAGAGGCCATTCACCACAGCGACATTCCTTCCCTCCTGCAAGTCGCGAGATAGCTATTATATACTATAGGAGAGATTCTATATTCCATATTCTTGGTTTGGGCCACTTTTTAACAACTAGCAAGTTTCTCCATCACAAATAACCCTCAATCAGAATTACCTATCATATTTTCTTCTTATTTACACCATTTTTTCTTCAATAAGCTGTAATTCTCAATTCTCTTTAGGACTTTGTCCTATTAGGGTTCCGAGTTAGGGTTTAACAAGTTTTAAAACCCTAACAAGTAAAAGTCCTAAACAGCAAAATAGGCATATCAAAGTTGCGCTTTTTTTTTTCAATCACTGTGAAATCTTCTGTTTAACTTGCCTTTTTCAATCAAAGAGAATTTTTCTGATTTGCTGGCAAAACCTGGTTCTCTGTTTTTCATTCTATTTTTTCTAGCCTTGGTCATGGAATGTTGTTGGCTTGTTCCTGTTGCTCAACCTTTTTTTGCTTGTGACTATTGAACTTTGTAATTTCTTCCTACTTTTGCTTGCAACTATTACTGTCTGCTATTCTTTCCTTCTTTTTTGGGTCTGTCTGTTGTTCTTATTTTTGACAATTGCATAAGTTGTTGTATGGTTGTATTTTCTGTTTTTTCTTCTATTTTTTTGGCTTTATTCAAAGAATCACTAATTATTATTTGTTAGCTGTGTTATCTGTTAATTTGTAGAATTGAAGGAAATGAGTTCTGTGGGTGCTACCAGTGCGCCCTCTACTGAAGAAGATATTAGCAAAACTTTTTTGATTCAAGAAGTTGAGAGATGGTGGGGAAAATATGTCCGGACAATGTAATTTTTGCAATCAAACTAAAAAAAGCACATACACAAGGGTACGTGCTCAATTATTGAAATTGAGTGGTTGTGGGATTAGAGCATGTCAAAAGTTACAAGCCAAGATATTGTAGATATGCACAAATTAGAGGAGAAAGTCAAAGATTGGGGAAAAATGCACCGAAGAAAGTACCATTGCCTCCTAGCGTGTCATTTGGTGATAATTTGGATAGCTTTGATCAAGGGGTTATGAGTCAAAGAAAAGAAAGGCGACTAAAAGTGGAAGTGGAAGTACTTTGACTATTGAAAAGGCATTCAACTTCAAAACTCGTGATCATTTAAATGCATTTATTGCAGGAATGTTCTACTCCGGAGGCTTGCCTTTTCACCTTGCAAGGAACCCATATTTTGTTATTGTTTGGAATCTAGGGTAATATTGTAATTACCGATAATGTTAGTTATTATAAATAAGGTGTAGGGTAACACAAACTACATATAGATTATTCTCCCTTTGCCTCTTCTTCTCTCTTTCTTACTTTCTCTAACGCTAATATTACCTATTTCTATTTCAATTTGGTATCAGAGCAATCATACGAGACTCGATAACGTTGAAAAACATTCTAGACGAAGTTCAGATCGCAGCCCAGTTGCTGACATGAAATCAGTAGATTCCAATCATCGAAACCACCTCCAGGACCAAAATTTCATGGTGGTATTTGTGGTGTTTAGGACAAGAGTCAAGGAGTTCTCAAAATGTTACATCAAAGGAGAAAGAAATGTAGAAAAGCTTAAGACAATTAAAACAAAGACAAAGAAAATGATGGAAGTGTATCAAGACTCATCACACACTTAAGCCCAATGATCTTTAATCAAAACTAATGGGATCCCTTCAAATTCTTTAGATGTCAAAACCCAAAGGGATGCCAAAAATGATAGTCTTTTCCACACATATTCCCAAGGAACCTCCTTTTCTTCAAAAACCCTCTCATTTCTTTCCAACAATACCACCTAAGACAATGCCAAACACCACAATTCTCCATCAAATCTTGGCTCGATTACATGAGCCAAAAGCATTGAAATCAATAACAAGTATCAAATCACGCCTTCTTGGAACCACCCAAGGAATCCCAACAATAGCCAAAAGCTTATTCAACAAATATGATTCCAGAAAAGAATATCAAGAATACTCAGAGAGAAGAACTCAACAACTTCCCCGTCATCCAAATTTCTTAAGAAATTAAAATTCTAACAAATCGGCAATGTGAAGGAATAAACCATACGAGTAGGGAATAAGGAAGCAAAGGAATAATCCCCCCGACCCACCCACCCACCCACC